ATTCTGAATTGGAGGCTAGTAGGGGTAATTATTGCAACCTTGAAAGGCTTGAATGGGATTTTGAGATCCTTGATGATACTTGGAAATGGCAGTTCCGACTTGGATTTTGTGCGTCTAATCAGAAGGCAATACGCGCTGTCGATGATCAGGAATGCTTTGAGAATGATTCTGGAATCAGACTGGATCGTTATTTACCGAGGGACACATCACGTACTAGCAGCGCATTGCATAGCATACCGCGACTTGGAGCTCTGGAATGTACGTTGATTTTGTAGTCCCTGTTGCAATTTGAATGTTCGGTGACATCAATGAAGAACGATAAGTCGTCCTTAGAACCATGACACTGCAAGTCTGCAACCATGCCAGCCTCCAGGCCTAACATGACTTGCGTAGGCTAAGGAAATAGTATATGAATGCGAAGCACCGAAAGAAGTAGGACGACAGGGTTCCGAAGTTAAGTTTGCACATAAACCGTTGTTCCGACCATAGCTCAGTTGGACTGTTTGAACCAGGCTGGTCGGACTTGAACGTTTGAACTGCACACCCAGCGATCAATTTTTTTGGTTCTTAAACGCCCATCACTGCCTGCCGAGCTGGAAAGTACCCCCGCATTGGCCGCATTAGGGGCAGTTGTTTTGATCAGGGCAGTTGTTTGATCATTTCATGCATATCATCTCATCTGCCAATGTTTGCCATTCGATCTGCCATTTGCTCCTAAATCGGTTTGATTCGAGGGTTTTGTCAGCGAATTTTCGCTGGCGGGGAGGGGTCTTTTACTTTCCTTCCATCATCATCACCGGTAACTTGATTGAACTCTTTGGTGCGTCGAGTCGAGTCGAATCACGACACAGCGGGAAACACTGCAAGAGCAGAGAATCAGGGAATCGAATCGAGATGATGGCTCTGGCTACAAGATTGAACGAACTGGCGGCTGCGAATGAGCAGGGTTTGTTAGAGTGAGTTTCTTCTTCATTATTTGTTTAAATGAATGAATTTAATTAATCAATTGGTTACAGTGATGATGAATATCGACTGCTGCGACAAGATGTTTTCGAGAGGTTTGCAGCAGGAGATACCGGAGCTGGAAAGGTACTGGTCGAGCCGAAGCCAAGTACTGCTCCGACTACGACTGCGACTTCGGTCGTACAACCGAAACCGAGGAAACTGACCCGACGTCCTTCAGAGGGTACCATAAACTCGACGAATAATGCCAGCAGTAGTGGCAATAACCACAGTATAGCTTCGTTCATCCGCCGAGCAACGTCTCCGTTGGGCTCTATTCGTATTCGTTCATCCTCTAGGCCTGGATCGTCCTCTTCGAGAAAGAACTCGGATGCGGGGCTCGCAGGGCGTTCAGTCCCAGTCCCGGACCCTCATCTATTATCTCCTCCAACAAGTCCTACTCGTCCTGTTCACACCAAATCTCCTAGTAGCAATAATTCCACTTCTAAAGTCAAATCCAAATCTACAGCTCCTTCCCCATTATCCGCACACGATATCTTCGAAGATGGTGGTCTATTCACACCCGCTGATATCCGTCGGGCCATTGCTGAACTCGACGATGATGCCCGGAGACTCGTCACGGCGTTTGAAGAGCTGGAGGAGAGTGCTGTACGGAAGGAGACAGTTAGAGCTAGGGAAGCCTCTCATGGGAGGAGTATGAACTTGTCTGGGAGAAATCAATCCGTCCTTAGTCTTAGTTCTCCCCCTCCGCCGACGATACAACATCGGTCAAAGTCGGATAATCCAGCTGCTGTTACCGCTGTATCTTCGAATTCGAAAGGTATAAATACACGCCTACGGTCAAAGTCTACAACGTCTCTCCGAGATCAGGCCCGGTCTGCTGCCATCACTGGTCCCAACAACCCTTATCCTACACCTCCTCCAAGTAGTCATCCAATAACCCAAACCACACCCGCCCTCCGCAAAAAATCTTCCGTATCTCTCCCTCGCCTCATCCCTATTTTCCTCGAAATCCAAACCATCTATACCTTCCCTGCCATCACTGCCTTCTCTCAACTCTAAACCTTCACTCCCTTCACTGCGTAAAAGGCCATCGACTTCTAGCGGTATTCCTCCCCTCCCAGGAACCCCAGGCAAGCAACTGCACGGGCACTCACACTCACCGAAATCGGGAATAACTAGATCTCGGAGCGATAGTGATAGCGTCGCTTCTTCTAGCTCGAATTCAGGTTCCAACCATACCCATACTACCTCTAGTTCAGCGACGTCATTTTCGTCCTTGGGGGTTGGCTTTTCGATATTGTCGTCTGGGAAAGGGATTGAGGGAAGGCCCTCGATGTCAAGATCTATATCTACGATCGGTCTCGGTTGAGTTGGGTACGTCAAAGTCGATGTCGATGTCTACATCTGCTCTGCTTCTGGGTTTGGGTCGTGGGAGATAAAAGAAGTGAGACCTAGTACCAATAGTAATAGGAGCGGCACTACCCACACTGGTACAGGATCTATTCGATTCCGCGCAAATTCCATCGACTCGGTTTCAGGGTCAGTTTCGGTTAGATCTGGGAGTGCGTCTGGTCATGGTTATGGTCACTCCGGACACTCTAATCAGGGACATGCGGGTTCGGGTTCTGGTCTTTCAGCCTCGTTCGAGTGAGCGAGACCGGGAGACCAAGCAGCACCATGCGCACTCCCGCCATCGTCCTCATAACGAAATAATCCCTGCTAGTGCTAGCGCCAGTGAAGAAACGCACTTCTATGCCTCACAAATACAAGAGGGTGAAGGCGAAGACAGCTCCGAAATCCGCCAAATCCAACAACGCAAACGGGATGTGATAGGGAGGTATGAAGCTCGGAAGGAGTATTTGCGTGCGAGGTTGAGAGGAGCGGAGTTGCATGAGAGGGTTGTTAAGGGACGGTAGGAGAAGGACTCGCCCTCGGAGGTACTGGTATTGCTGGAGAAGGTACGGAGGAAGAAGTGTAAGACTAGGAAGTTGGGGTTTTTTTGGAAGTGAGATGGACACCGGTACCGCATCATGGACATATACTTTGGAAACCATGTATTTCTCGCTTGCCTATCTAGACATTATTTACTTGCCTACAGTACATTACTACATAAATATTATTTCCTTGCGCATCTTCGTAGTTTAGCTTATTACTTATGTACTACAGTTTCCTAAATACTTCAAAAACAAAATGAATGAAGATACATATTTTGTGAACCTATCGGATCCTATGAAAGCTCTAAGTTAGGGGTTATGTAAACGAAACCACATTCTACTGTACAATTACTACAATACACTGGCGTCAAATTGGAGCCGCTATCAACATTGCTAAAGTTTTTTAATCATAAAACGACAACCCAAGAAAACCCAACTGATTTGTTCTGCCTTGCAAAAAAACCCAATGACACCCAATAACTAAACAATCACACCAAAACTCAGCCCAACCTTGGCCTTGGCTACACCACTTCACTGCCATGTTACCACCCGAGCTTCTCTGCTCAATCGTCGAGTATCTTGCTTATGTGCCAGAAATTTGCCACTGCGAACGTCCAGAAACCCATTTCAGAACAGTTTCTCCCGATCTTGTCCATGTGTCGCTAGTAAACAGACACTGCAGACGCATTTGTTTGCCCTTCATATTCGCACATGTGCGAATCAAGAGCTACAACATGCGGAAGCTCAGAGACTGCTGTATATCTAACCCAGCGATTGCTTACTCCATAAAGTGTGTACTTGCCTATGTTCTTTGTTGATATCGCTCACCGTAATGATAGAATGTTGAAAGCGTCTTACTGTGACAAGGATGGTCCCGAAGCGTTCTGCGAATTATTGCCTCACCTTGGCCGTCTAGCATGCGTCGACATGAGAGGAAATGCGCTGAACGTTGCAATAAACCATGCCATGCACCAGCACCCTACTATCTCTAGGATTCTAGTTGGCCAATTAATCAGTATGCCTCCGGAGTTTGCCCCGTCGGATATGTCTCGGGTAGTTGCCAAATGCAGCGAAATCTACGCACCTACACTTACCGAGCGTAATGAACCGGTCGAAAAGCTGGTTAGATATCTTGCTCAAGGCATGAAAGTAGCACGCCTCGACATCCACCTGCCGGAGCGGCTGGAGGAAAATTTTGGTCGCCAAACGTTTCCTGGCGTCCAAGGATTTCATTTATACCTGGGTTATGGTCTGGTTTTGACGTCGTGGCTTCCTGGAATAACAGCTACTCATCCACAGTTGCGCAAAATCCAATTCTTCGACCAAGGGTATTACTTCCGTCGTCACCACTCGTTCCCTTTTCTCTCCCCCGTCTTAGATGAAGTCAGCCAGGGATACTCTTCCGCCTTCTTCCCCAAAAGTGTCACTCTCAATCGCCCTTCACCATTAGGCGTCGTATGGCTCGTCACTGGATTAAATTTAATTGTCTCCTCATCCTTGATCGACACCCTTTTGCTTGTCTCTAAACACTTCCCTCACATTGATACATTGGCCCTCGACCTTGCAGAGCAAACAAAGTATAATGTGGTGCGTCTATTTCATTCATCTCATAATCAACTGGCCCTAACTTATCTTTCCAGGATGATCTCATAGTTGCACTTGCTCGTTTTCCGTCGCTTCGAATCTTGCACCTGACGGAGATTTTCAGTCAACTTCGTTGTGTCAAAGAAAAAAAAGAGCGGCCATGGAAACCAATGCGTCCATTAGACAAGCCTGATCGAGCACAAAAGCATGCAGCCGCGGTAGAATCTAGGATTCAATGGTACGCGTCTCGCATTGCCGAGGTATCCCGTCTCTGGAGGCTTTCTACATCGTAGAGAGTGGGTACGCCTTCAAGCATTGTCGTGGCCCTTGGCGTCTGAAAGGGTGGCTGGACATTTTAACAAGAGGAAAAGTCACGGGGGAACTGGTGTCACTGTTATGAAGGCATGGTCACTCGCATTATGTACTATGCAATTGGAATATTTGTCTCTGTCCAAGTCTTCGCTATGTCTAAATCTCATCCGCTCAAGTTCTCATTAATGAGGTATCTAGTGTATCTTCTTCTTAGCTCAGTTGGTAGAGCGCGTCACTAGTATCACCCTTCAAGCACAATACTTATTCATGACAAAGTCAGTCGTTCAAGCTGGCTAGAAGGATTGAGAGAGTGTCTAAGTCCTCTCTTTTTTCGACGACGTCTCGTCACGATCCTTAGATACTCACCCACTCATCCAAGTACCCATCTACCCACTAACGCAATTTACCTCTTCAGCCTCTGACCTCAAGCTCAAGATCGACTCGGAAAGTTCCCTTACGTTCAATTACTTACACTTATTACACTTATTGCTGTAGCCGCTCACCTGCACACCTGACGTTGAACTTGAATCAAATATATACTTGTAAATACTGTACACTGTTCGCGAGTAAGACGACAGGCAGAGTAGTAAACAGGACAGGTAACACGGATGGATGGGCATGCAGAGACGAGATAGGTATGTATGTATATATCTATCCTTTATGAATAAACAGACATGACAATCGGAATGAGGAGGAACGAATAACCAAACAAGGTGCAAGCACAAGCACAAGCACAAGCAGCATAGATGACAGAAACGCAAGCGCGAGGAGAAGCGGATAACGAATGAACGAATGAAGCAGGACTCAGCCTGAGGAGCAGCAGCAGTAGTAATAAGGAATTTTGAGTTTAGGATTATGGCTTTTATCAACGACAGGATAGAAGATGGGACACGGAGGGCGATGATAAGACACAGGAAACCAACAGGAAACCAAAAACACAAAACACAAAACGAAATGAATCGGAGAAGGACTCGGAGGACTCGGAGGGACGAAGAGGAAGAATAACATACATAATATTACGACGAAAGCAAGCAAGGAAACGAGGAAACAAAAAGTCAATGTCGAGGTCTACTTCTGCTTCTGCTTCAGGGTCTGGGTCGGGGGAGATAAAAGAAGGGAGACCCAGTACCAATAGTAATAGGAGCGGCACTACTCACACTGGCACAGGATCTATTCGATTCCGCGCAAATTCCATCGACTCAGTTTCAGGGTCAGCTTCGGTTTCCAGCACAGTACATTACTACATAGATATTATTCCCTTGCGCATCTTCGTAGCTTAGCTTATTGCTTATGTACTACCCGGTTCACAAATCCTTCAAAAACAAAATGAATGAAAATACATATTTTGTGAACCTATCGGGTCCTATGAAAGCTCTACGAGGTCACAAGTGCAAAATACAAAAAATTACAAACGAAACCATATTTTACTGTACAATACACTGGCGCCAAACCGGGGCCGCTAACAACATTGCTAAGCTTTTTTAAAATCATAAAACGACGACCCAACTGATTTGTTCCATCTTGCAAAAAAAACCCCAAAGACACTCAATAACTAAACTTCCAAGAATTCCGGAACCCAACCCAAACCAGTCAAACGACAACATCCGTATCCATCCGATCCATATCATCCAGCTCCCCACATGACCTTGGCCCCGGTTGCACTGGCATAAAAGGCGAAGACATCATAGACAAAGCCGCCGAAGTCGGAGGCAAAAGTCCCGCCATCGCTCCGTCATCAGGCTGGGGAGTCTCGTACGCTTTTTGCTGATGTATCATCAGCTTGAGCTTGCCTTCCTTCTTGAGAGCACGAAGAGTCTCGAGTTCTATGTCGGAGAAGGTGCGTGGGATGTTCAAGAAGATCGTACAGGAACTTAATCGACTTGGACTGTTACCGGAAGCAGGAGCATGAGTACGAGCCTCGAGGAAGGAGGTCAGTGCTGCAGTGGACCAAGTTGTTCTTAAAGAACCCATCCCATCATGATCTATCCCCTTGTCAATCATGCGGAAGTTTTTAAGCTCGGGACAGAGACAATCAAAGTTCTCTGTGGAAGGCGTAAGCCTCTGTAGATGAACGTCTTGAAGGGTGGTGGCAATTCGGTCAGCATCCGGCTGAGAGAAATCCCCCTCGTCAACAAGGTCGAGCGAGGTAATACTCGTAGCGAGAGAAAGACATTCCATCAATGCTTCGGGTGTCATCAGCATATTAATTCCCAAAGTTTCCAAAGCATGGATCGGCAAGCTAAGAAGGGACATTTAGAAAAAGTAACCGACCCACTCCCAGTACTAGATGACAACTGGCCCACGTGTAAATTCTTCAACGATGGGCAGAGAATGTGAGAGAAGATCGAGGACATTCGAGCTTCAAAAGCAGCACTGGGAGCATTGTCTGCTCCTGCTTGCCCTCCTCCTGGAAATGGAAAGCCGCCTTGCCACGGAGCCAAATTGACCGCAAAGGCTTGGCCAGCAAAGCCTTGACCAGCGAGAACGGGGTAAGGCACACTGTCTTGCGACATGAAGGCCAAACGGAGCGTGGATAGATGAGAGAGTGTGGCTAGAGGGAACATCGCATCGTCAGGGAGCTGAGTAGGTGTGAGCGACGATCCGAGTAAAACGCCAACTCTCAGAAACTGGAGCAGGGGGGTCCCCGTTAACAGACGAAGAAGCTCGACGGGAGTTAAATCGGCTTGTAAGTCGATCGATGTGAGAGAAGCCCAGTTACAAGGCAAGCTCTGGTACTGCACATTGCGATCTGTGGTATTAATGGTCAATTTCTTCAACAACGGCATGCGATCGAGAAGAGGAGCGTAGGCCGGTTGCGCTGGTTGATTGTGATTGAAATTAGTAAGATTGTATGAAACAACAACCATGTACTGTTGGTCGTCCGCCACTTTTAGAGAGACGAGAGCTGGGAAGGATGGTGGAGAGAGGGAGTTGAAAGAAGCAAGGTCGTCCTTGGAGAGACAAATATACACATCCCGGAATCTGTCGCTGAAATGCAGCAGAGCCTTCATGAGGGACTCCAATACCTTCTTCCTTTGGGCTCCGAGCAGTGCTCGAGCTTCAGCGTCAGGGTCGGCAGGCATGGTTAGGCCAGCAACCATCCATTGATCCTGAGAGATATTCTGGAAAGGAGTTGCGTGAATAGAAATAGATAGAGGAAGTGCGGCAGAGCGTTCGAGCCATAGTGTAGCTCCAGTTATTCTTCGAGATGCAGCTTCCTCACTCAAATGAGTCGGAAGATGAATATGAAGGGAGTTCCACAGCAAAGGAGTATCCAAAGCGATGTTCCGCCAATGTTTACAAACGCCAAGAAGAAGTAGCGGTGCATATTCCAAACTTCGTACTCCATACGGACTGGTGTCGGGTAGACATCGAATAAAGATTTCAGCGAGGACTTCTTGAGGGATCCGACGGATCGGAGACATCAAGGCTTGGTGAGCGTCAATGTACGTGTCCATTTTCTTTTCATCGGATAAGAGACCATCCAGAGTAGCTCGTACGCGCGCGATCTCCAATCTCAGGTGATTGCGCTCATCCTGTGGAACAGTCAAGGACGCTCTGAGCTTCTCCAGCTCAGCAGGCGACGGAACATGGTTTGTTCCAATCAAAGAGGAAAAAGGAGAAGAAGCAAGATCCCAAGCAGAGCTTGGTGTCATGCATGTCATGGTCGGAGTTGAACGTTGAATATCGATTAGCGCCCATTCAGTATTTTTTCCTTTCAACAAACTTTCAACAAACCCCAGTTTCCAGTACGCGCTCAGTTACTCTGGTAATCGATTCAAGAAAGAGAGGGCGTAGAGGTTCGTTCCTCAATAAGGACAATTGGCAAGGCTCGTTTTTTAGTGCTCTTTCCGAATGAATCAATAGAATTTTTTTTTCCAAAGTACAAAATCTCTGGCAGTTCAAGATTTTTCCTCGGCCTCAAGATTTAGATGACATTATAAAGGACAAGGATACGAGCTCGGAGGCTCTGAATAACGCTGGAATAGCAAACGCCCCGGATCCATAACCCAGTGCTCGAATTCCAACTGTATCTTCATTCGCTAGGATGGCGTGCAGTTCGGGTAGAATGGAAGCTCGGTGGAACAGATGGAGGTGAAGGATGAGAAACGAAGGATGAGGAAGGACGGAAGTTCTGTGGAAAGATCGAGGACGAGGGGATGACAAGCTGGTTTTGTACGTAGTCGGTCTGGGTGGATCCAAGATTGAAGAAACTCGACGCAAGGGTAACGCTACATCGTCTATAGGTTGCGAACTGAAGATTAGCAGTGATAAAGGAAGAAAATCATACATAACTTTGTAAAATCGTCAACCATTCACCTCTATAAGTTGACTCTTCAAGTGCGACGTTCTAGCGTTGCTGAGAGCAACCCTTTCTGGTTTACAATTGTGAACACCGATTCAGACTCCTTCATTCGCTCGATACGTGAGCTGCAGATGGACTTTCTGCGGTGTAGGTGTAAGTATACTTGGCCTCTCACAGATCTAGAAAGTCTCGAGGCCTGGCCGCGTTCGTGAGCACCTTGGGTTTGAAAATGGATAGATTAGGTTGTCGGCTGGACGAAAGGAAGTACCGTAAGAGTATAGACCTTCCGCATTGCTTCCTACTGAGTATTCGAGCCTTCATGGATGTCCCCCCAAGATAATTGGAACAATCAAGGTGAATGATTAGGTACTAAGTATTCTCTCAAGTTGTATTTCTCTCAAGTTCTGCTGACCATTATCGTCAGATTGACTCGTCAATTTTGGTTCTTGCATTATTGCATAAGAATCTGAATCAAGGCCGCCTCATTTACGATGAAAGAGTTATTTTAGCCCCTGCATCAGCAGAACCTGGGTGATCCCACAGCAAGGTCCCCCTCTGTACAGAACTGGACAGCTCTGTGGCTTCTGTGGATTGTATTGGGGCTTCTGTACAGTGCTGTACAGCAACCCACAGCAATCCACAGCAATCCATAGCAATCCACGTTTTGCTGATGTGATGGAGTCGTATTGGAAGCTCAGAGCTGCAGGCCGCACCTAAGTCGAGTTTCTCTGCCTTGCGGTAACTCTCATCTATATCTTTGTTTCCACATCCGAATGTGGCACTGTCACAGGAAGAAGAAAGATGTTCAAGCTCGGAGGAAGAGGCATTCACAAGGTCAATAAGGCTGTGAGAATCATTCATCAGTGGTTTCCAACTTTAACGGTCATTGAAGGAGAAAAAAAGAGACCCAACCCAGAAGGCGACAACTTACCGAGCTTGGTTGTATTCCCCTCTGCAATACTACAAGCCCCTTTGCAAACGGTCAAATCATGTTGCA